TTACCACTCCAGATAACGTGATTGGCTAAATGGATCAGGTGATCGTGATCACATGACTATCATACTAAACATACTGGTGATGCATCTAAATCAAAGGAAGTACTTAAGGGCAGATTTTACCCTGGGTTACATGTTCATGCCCTGAATTTGGATTTTCGACCTCACGCCTTGTCTTGTGGATTTACCCTTTTGCCTGCTCCTCGTCTGATTCTGCTCTGTCCTTCTGATCACGATTGGACTCCTGCCTTGGACCCTGACTCCAGCAACCAGCAGCAAAAATAAATAAAAACTGTTATTGTTGTACTTCTGTGTCTGGCTTATTCTGAATCCAAAACCCGAACCTGACAGAATAATCTCGCCAAAGATGGATTCTAAGCCAGAACAGGAGTGTCTCTCAGGTGTCGAGAGCTCCCTAACACGTCTGGACACTCAGTTACAGATTTTTAAGACCTTGTTCTGTGCAAAGTTTTGCATACCAACCCCAGAGAGTTTTCCTCACTCTTTGCCTGCAGCAGATCCAGTATTGGCTGCAAAATCCATGACTTTAAAACTTGCTGCAGCTCTGACCCCATCGCTTGCTGCAGCTCTGACCCCATCGCCTGCTGCAGCTCTGATCCCATCACCTGTTGCAGCTCCACAGCCCTCCTCGTCGCCTACTGCAGAGCCACAGCCTGCCACGTCGCCTTCTGCAGAGCCACAGCACGCCACGTTGCCTGCTGCAGACCCCAAGGCCGCCACGTCGCCTGCTGCAGAGCCACAGCTCGCCACATCGCCTGCTGCAGAGCCCAAGGCCGCCATATCACCTGCTGCAGAGCCCAAGGCTGCCACGTCGCCTGCTGCAGCTCCACAGCCCGCCACATCGCCTACTGCAGAGCCACAGCCCACCACGTTGCTTCTGCAGAGCCACAGCCCGCCACGTCACCTGCTACAATCCCACGGCCGCCATGTCGCCTGCTGCAGAGCCCAAGACCGCCACATCGCCTGCTGCAGACCCACAGCTCACCACGTCGCCTGCTGCAGACCCACAGCCCTCCACGTCGCTTGCTGCAGACCCACAGTCCGCAAAGTCGCCTGCTGCAGAACCACAGCCCGCCTAGTCGACCGCTGCAGCTCCCCAGGCCCCTGCTGCCGATATGGCCCCATTGTAAGGTATTGGAGGGTCACCCGGCCTTTCGCCATGGACATTACAAGTTGCTGGACAACCTCATGGCCGCCCACCGGAGCCCTGGAACAGCTCTGGACTGCCCTTCTGGTTTGCCAATCTGTTTCCTGAGATGGTTCCTGATACTCCCTCCGTATGTTGAGGGGGTATCAGAGAAACTGAGACGTTTATTTTCTAAAAACAACATCCCAGTGGCTTTTAAACCCCAAAATACATTTCGGCAAAGACTGGTTCATCCCAAAGATTTAGTCCCCTGGCACAAACAGAGTAATACTGTTTATGCTGTTCAGTGTCAGGAGGGCTGTGATCAGTCTTACATTGGGGAAACTAAACAGCCACGGGCCAAAAGGATGGCCCAGCACAGAAGAGCAACAACATCAGGTCAGGACTCTGCGGTCTACACTCATCTCCAGGCCAGCGGTCACTCCTTCAGGGACGAAGATATTCACATCCTGGATAGAGGGGAACGATGGTTTGAGAGAGGCGTAAAGGAGGTCATCTTTGTGAAAAAAAATCGTCCATCATTTAACAGGTGTGGAGGCCTCCGGGTTCAACTGTCCCCCTCTTACAATGCTGTTATTGCTAGTATCACTCAGCCTCCTGTGAATAGTAAACAGCCATCAGTGTGATTTTTTATTCAACCTTTATTTAAACAGATAAATCACATTGAGCCTCGAAGACTCATTTACAAGTGAGACCTGTTTGGACAAACAAAAACAGTGGTTAGAAAAGGAAAGAAAACATGAGGAGAGACGGTATTAAAAAAAAGATCTCTCACGCCATGTCCTAGACAGGGCACAATTTGAGGCATCAAAAAAACCTACCACAGCAAAGCAACATAAACAGACGTTATACATTTACATATAGGCCAGAGAAGACATTGAACTTTTAAGGGAAGGTCGTAGCATAGTCCAAAGCCCCCCCTCTCAGCCATTGTCTAGATAAGAGGTGACATTCATCATCAGCTCAGTTGAGGTTCTGTCACATGTCCACGGCCTTGGGGAATGGAGTGGTGAGGAAACAGTCAAAGCATCTTTGTTGTTTTCAAAACAATTCCAGGAGGAGTTGAGAGAAGTCGGCGTCAAGGCCACAATTTGGGTCAGGCAGAACTCGTGAATTGCTGTTTCTGTCTTTTTTAAAGTCTCGCTGGTATATGTTCCTCTCATGGAAACTCCAAAACAGCTGAATTGATCCTTTACGCCGTAAGTCAAGCTCACAGCTTCTCCAAGATTATTCCCACCATTCATGAGTGCTACCAATGAGTTCACAGTCCTGATAACAGCCTGCTCCAGCTCCCTGCAGCAGCTCTCCAAATTCAGTCTGAGCACTGTTGAGCTTCGACACATCCACACGAATTTGTAGACAATCCAAGATTTCACCAACCCAAACAGTAGAATCTAGTTGTCATTATTAATCCAATTTGTTTCCGTCAAGGTAAGAGGGTCCTCCTTACCCTGACTCCTGTCGGTAGAAGTTGATCGATTTTGTTGAGAGACCAGCTGATCCTTCCAATTAAGAGGTATGCAGAAAAAAAAAAGGCTTTTTAAGGGTTCACAGGATGAAAGAATGCAAGCAGGGAAGTGGGGGAGGTATGGAGCGCCGAGAAACACGTCTGTTTTCACCGGAGTACAGAGGGAAAAAAATATAAATGCTAATGATCCATCGTTAGGCTGATGGTCCTTCTTGGTCATGTCAGCAGCTGGTTTTGGTTGTCAGTAGCAAAACTGGTTGATCCACTCTTAGAAGGTGCTTTTATAAGACTGAGCTGAATACAGCACCTCAGACTGAGGAAGTCTTTCGGATGAAAGATGAAACGTTTCTACATTTTTTTTGGTTGTTTTGCTTTGTTTTAGTTTTTTTATGTCCAGAGGACCAGATTTAACTTTGTTAGATAAATGTCATTAAGTTCTGCCTGTCCCCAAATCAACTGTGTTTTTATCTGAATTTGGCTCCCTTGGCTGGCCTTGAAGGACATCTTATCCGAATTTGCTTGGAGAACATGTGATCTGACGCTCACCACCCCTCCTTGAGGAATTTCCAACGGATAACCAGATGAAACTAGCTGAATAAACATTGTGTCATCATTTCAGGACTCTTGGATTTTCATAGTCGTTATTCTTGGCCATTCCTCGACATACCTCGAGAATGTTTACGGATCTCACCGGAGGACAGTGGCTGATTATTCCATCCTTATCAGAACTCTTACAGTGCACTCGAGAGCATCTCTGAACATTGCTCACCACTCTCGTCGTCCCCCCCCCCCCCTCTGCAGAATGTCTACATCACTATGTGCTTGTTTGTGCAAGGTGTTTTTTAATATCAGAGATTTTTCTTCTCAGGCAGGAAAAAAAAAAAGTCTGATAGGAATTTTTTCGCTTCCAATTCCTACACGTGTCCAGTTTCACTACTTTTTGTCTGTCTAAACAGATCTCACTTGTAAATGAGTCTTCTAGGCTCAATGTGACTTACCTGTCTAAATAAAGCTTGAATGAATAAATATGTGTTCAAAGGCAAAAAACAGCCACTAACCTTCTCAGGCAGGTGAGGCAAGTTGCAAAGCATCCTTTCAGAGCTTGAGAAGATGGTGTCAGTGATAAAAGAGCTGCTGGAGAGGGAGGCCTTTAATGCTGTGATTTGATCTGACAGCGGGGCAAACTTTAAACGTGATCTGGAAAGGAAAGCAGGGTCAAACACAGGGAGGCAGAGTTCTGATAAAAAAATCCAGAGGTGAATCCTTAATCCAAAATCCAAAGAGCAAAAAAGGGTCATAGTTACCAGGGTCAGAAAGGCAGAAAAAAACAAAACAGATGTAGGGCAAACAGGGTGATGAATCCATGAAACAGGTGTGAGGTTGAGATATGAAGGTCCGGCATAGACAAAAACAAGGTGCTGGACATCTAATACCAAAAAGGGGTTGCTAATCTGGCAGAGATCTTGCGTGGATGGAGCTCTTATATAGAGCGGGCAGCAGGTGCAGAGCATGAGCATTGATTGTGGTGGAGAAGTGGGTGTGGCAGGTGGCAGAGAATAGAGCTCATGACATAGGTAAAATATTCATGTCAGTTTAAAAGTACAACCTAATCTTTATTGTGCCCTTGTATTTTGTTTGTTCTAACATTACCAGAAAAGTGCACTTTGGCTTTTGACTTATTAATCATATAAACATTTATTTCTGACAAGAGCAGAATCATCTGCTAATGAGAGAAATATAGTTTCAATGTATAACGCAAGGTTAAAAGGTCATGGTGTCAAAACCTCATTAATTGTTGTCAAACTTTTAACTTTGGCAGACAGATATACGGTATTTGCAACCTCATCTCTATTGGCATGTATACAATCTATCTGTGTGCTACACATACATTTGTGTTGTAACGCAGATGATGCTAAGTTGAGAAAACAACAACAAATTAAACAGTGTCATGCAGAAGTGTAGAGGTTTATCATTGGCTAATAAAATGTTATTTCAAACCAGTATGCTGTTTTTGAGAAAGAGTTGGTTTGTAAGCCTAAAAATATGTCAGAAGACAGGCCATTACTTGGCTTGCAATTATCCAAACCAGGCTAGTTACCGATACCTCTTTCTCCATGTTCTGTGCTTTATGACTGATATCATGCTACAAGCTACTAACTACTGATGAAAAGGTGACAGAACATCACTTTAAATTTGTCTAGACTATTCCTTTATTTGTTTAATTTTAATGCCTTGACACTGTGATGTTTTTACTTCAGGTTTCCTAATCTGGCCCATTTCTACATGAAAGACCTGAGATCCAGCAGTCGTTGTTAGGGTTCCTTTTTTCTCATTTTTTCATACCTGATGTGCCTTTTCTTTTTACAGGAGGAGTATGTGCTCCCCTCAAAAAAACTAAAGGAAAAGCACGTTACTGTCATCCAGCAGCTTGAACAAACAATAGAAGACCTCAGGACTAAGATCGCTGAGCTGGAGCGACAGCCCCCTTTGCTGGACAGAGATGAAACAAAGACGTCCACTACAGACAGAGAGTGTGGAGGGGAGGAGGGAGGGCTGAAGGCTCAGTGTGATGCCCACCTACAGACAGAGGCGTCTTCCTCTCTATGCTGCCTAGAGGCCAAGTCTGTGCAGACCTCCCCACTGGACAACCACTTGAAGTGTAAAGTGCCGAGTGATGAGGTCCCACCGAGGCAGAACGGCTTCCAGTGCTCATGTCAGCTGCAGCTTCCTCCACCACCACCTCCACTTCCAGGAGGAGCTGGAATTTTGAATTCATGGAAGACTATAGCTCCCCTTCCACCCTCTATTTTTCAGCTTCCTGGATTCCAAGGACCATCTCCATCTCTTCCACCTTCTGACTCAACAAATCATCCTCCTCCACCTCCCGCAACCCCTCTTCTACTCAGTGGCCTGGCTCCACCCCCACCCCATCTACCTTCTTTACCTGGTTTTGCAGGTCCACCTCCTCCTCCTCCTCCACCACCACCACCTCCTCCAGGTTTTGCAGGTCCACCTCCTCCTCCACCACCACCTCTTCCAG